AATGCAGTTGTCACATCACATCACATTTCAGTACGACACATCCACAACTTAATGACATGTGATTACTTCAACAGATTGTTCGCCCGGTGTTTATTAAATATTGGTGCACATGGTATATCATTCATCACACAATGAAATGCTACGATAATATAACAACGTTTGTGTTGCTTATTTCCATCGCATGTGGTGGTTACCTTATTATATATTTATATTCTCCGTTTGGTACCCTAATGCAAAGGCATATTAATCCACTGTCCACAGTCAGGTAAGACAATGCTTTCATTGCAATATGCTCCTTCCCTAGAGTGAATCATTCATCGACAAGAAGACAGATTGTCATAAAACAGTGTGAGAATCATGAATTGTATTACACATGTTATTTATATTATGACATAATGTATTAAACTCGTTTTTTATTTTACAGAAAAATCAAAAATGATCATAGGTTTCGTTCTGAAATGTCGCCTGAAAAATGTCTGGAGCATTTCCATGATCCACCGAAATGCCAAGCAAAGAACAAACTAGTTTACATCAAAACTCACAAAACAGGCAGTACTACTCTGGCGTCTATTCTGGAACGATTTGGTTATACAAGAAATCTTACAATGGCAGTACCTGAAATTAGACATGGTTTTCCTCGCACCGGTCTCTTCAACCGTAGAATGGTTTGGAAAATTGATAATATTAGTAGTTTTGATATGCTTACAAATCACGCCAGATACAATCGTCCAGAACTTGATGCACTGATACCAAATGCAACATATATAACAATATTAAGACATCCTTTGGCGCAGTTTGAATCAATGTTTGGTTTCTTTAATTGGGGAAGACATATACATACCAAGGATCCAATCGCTACATTTGTAAACGACCCTAAATACATAAATGCCACCATTTCCGGTAGGGCAACACATAATTCACAACTATTTGACCTTGGCTTGAGTTTAAAACAGACACTTGATGAGGACACAGTAAACAAAAAGATACAATCACTAAACAAAGAGATGGATTTAGTATTAATAACTGAATATTTTGACGAGTCCTTACTTATATTACGTGATTTACTGTGCTGGTCAGTGGATGACATATTGTACATATCCAATGGTGTACGAAGACAGAGTGCACGACGAAATTTGACCCCTGCTGTCAAAAAGGAAATACTGAAGCGGAGCAAATCGGATTTGTACCTATATCATCACTTTGAAAAAGTATTGTTAAAAAAGATACAAAAGTATGGTGTGTGTTTTGAACACAACCTTCGTGAATTTCGAAAACTTCAAAATGAAGTATTTGAGATGTGCATCGAAAATAATGTGTCAAAACAACTAAAAAAAGGTCTTGTTGAACCCGTTCTGAAGAAAAATTCTACAGAGTTCTGCGTTAATCTTTGGAGAGGAGATGTCACATTTACTGGATTAAACAGAAAAATGCCCACAATTTAAGTTAATAAAGAATGACAATATAATCTGTCGCAAACCAGAACAATTTGTTCAAAACATCAAATGACACGCATGCAACATAATGCTTTAACGATTCATGATAAGGAGACGAGGTAAAAATAAATGTTATGTTAATATTTTTGAAAATCAGGCAGATTATTACAGCACTTG